TGTTGAATTTTTACTTTATTATAATCTCATAAAATTGTTCTTTTTAGTAACTATCGTGAGTATCAAACCTATTCTTAAATCTATACTGCATTTGTTTGCTCCTCAATGCTCTATAATAATTGCTGCTACTGAATAAAGTTAAAGTTGGTTATTGGTTTATTTAAAACATTAAGTTTGATCCTTACATTTATTTTCCTCCATTAACTGATGACTTCGAAAAGGACATCATGTCTCCAATAGACGTCTTTTTGTTGTAAGCACTCCTGTAGTTCGGCGATTAAGCTTGTGAGGACTGCTCAATCCGATTTTACGCTCTTCAATTTATTTTGGGTATTGAAAATCAGGATTCATATATTGATATTAATCAAAATTACGCTCACAAACATTAAAAATCCCCAATCTCCTAGTAACAAAAATCACATATTTTCAACCGGCGCCATTTTGAACTAACAAATACGCAAAAACAGTTTTCACATCACGAGGTCACTTAAAATTTACGTGAACTTCACTTAACATTTATCTGTATAACACTTGAACTCCATCAGTGAATCTAGTGGAATTCATTACCATGCCATTGATATTTATGTGCAGCATGTAATTCTTATTGGATTTCTATTTTTGAAAGGTTACCTGATTTTCCAGGTGAAATTTACGTTTCTCGTTAGTTCAGTGATAGAACAAACTATACCAAATGATAGATGAATCATTCCCTACTTGTTTGTGTTGTTAGTTTTTGAGATTGAACTTTAATTCACGAGAAATCGTCGAATGAAGTATTTGTTTACAAAAGTAATTGCGCCCTAATCTCGAAGTTTTCCGGAAATGTCAAAATTGTTGTGAGAAAAACATTAACCGAGACTTTTTTTACAACTACTATATACACCTAACCTACTATATACAAATTTGCATATCAAAGCATGTTTTGATAAATTACATTTTTGTGCAAATTTAGTCTTAATTTCGTTAATTTTTGAATCTATTTTGGCAATGCCTGCCTCTTCATGTAAATTTGTTATTCTAGTGTCGAAAGGACGATCAAGTACCATCCTCAGCACTCTATTCTGAGCGACCTGAATTTTGTTCCTGTGAGTCTGTGCACATGATTCCCACACCGGAGCAGCGTAGAGGATCGCAGGTGCTATGATTTGTTTGTAGACGGCCAGTTTGTTCACCCTTGAGAGGCGGGATCTGCGGCAAATCAGCGGATACAGACACCTAACCAAGACTACAGTTTTCTCTACGTGTGAACGGAAGAGGAGCTTTTCATCGATCAACATCCCGAGATAGGTTACTTCAGCGGACCACTCAACCCTTGTGCCATCCATGATTACAGTACGAGATGGAGCCGGTTTCAGTTTGGGCGATTGCCGATGGAGGAACATGATCGCTTGTGTTTTTGAGGGATTGATTTTGATTTTCCACGTGGTGGCATAATCAGCAAAGGCGTTAAGGCATCGTTGAAGTTTGTTCGTTATTTCGCGAGGCATCCTTCCTTTGACGGCTATTGCGGTATCATCTGCGAACAGGAAGAACACGCAACCGTCACCGAGGGGAGGAATGTCGGAAGTATAAATGCTGTAAAGCAAGGGGCCCAGCAAACTGCCTTGCGGGACTCCTGCTGGGATGGAAAACGTGTCTGAAAGACAACCATTCAACGATACCTTAAACGACCTTTGCTGGAGGTAGTTACGGGTGATTTTAACCAGATGTAATGGGAAGTTAAAGTTAGAAAGCTTGTACACAAGTCCGTCATGCCAAACATTGTCAAACGCCTTTTCAACGTCTAACAAGGCCATGGCTGTGGACTTGGATACAGCTTTGTTGCTTCGGATGTTATTCATCACCCGTACTAGCTGTAGCTGGTGATTGGTAGAGTGCCCCTTTCTGAATCCAAACTGTTCCGGAAGGAGAATGTTATTTTCCTCGACAAACTTGAGCAAACGATTGAGAATGAGTTTCTCGAACAATTTGCTCAGCGCTGAAAAGAGGCTGATTGGTATGATTTTTGCTACTTTTCAGATGCTTGGAAAGTAGTGCAGTTCCAAGCATCTGTTGAAGATAGTGGTTAGAAGAGACTGCACTTTCATGCTGAGTCTTTTCAAGATCAGCTTTCATGTTCTTGGTGCATTTCAGCGCTGAGCAAATCTGTTGTACTGTAATCATATCCGCCGGAGGCACGACACAAGGGGAGGCACCTAGGTTTTGAACGAATTGCGCAACCTGATCTTCGAGCGGACTTTGGATATTCGAGCCAAGCAAATGCGATGAAGCGACATGCTCGCCGATCGCATTTGCTTTCTCCTGTGGGGTGATTAAAAGCCGATCGTCATCATTTTCGACTTTGAGAGGTGGAATGGGTTTGGGATGAGTTTTCAGGACCTTGGCTACCTTCCAGAATGGTCTGGAGCGGTCATCCAGATTCTGGACAACACGCCCGAAACTTTCATTTCGGAGTGAGTCCATTCTGGAAGCAATCTGTCTGTTCAGATCAGCCATTTCACGTTTTTTGCCCAGATCTCCAGTCCTCTGAAACTGGCGTCTACGAACATTTCTCATGCGAATCAAAAGTTGGGTGTGGGAATCAATGGCAATAAACTTACCCGTCACAGGAACTCGTCGGACGCACGCCTCGTCAGCCACGGTTATGGCTTGGTGGAGTCCCTCCAACGCTCGGTCGATGTCCTCCACGGTGTCCAGCGGCGGGTTGTCGATGATGTGCCTGTCTACCACGCGTCCAAACTGGGCCCAGTTTACGCGATGGTAGTCCTTGCGCAGGCTTGAAGCAGGAGCCACGTTGCAGCCCAGTTCAGCCACTACTGGTTGGTGGTCGGAGCTGAGTTCGTTCAAGGCTACCGGCTTGGACAAGCCGATATTTCTCGATGAACATTTCAAATGGTCCTATCTGCTTTGATCGATTCTCTTCATCGACTTTCTCTTTTCATAACCACTGCTATGTAAACAGATTTCGCGCTAATTCTACCACATAGTTTAATAAAGGAGGTTCTTATCTAGCGTCCAAAACGTCAAATACAACAGGGAAAGGTTTTGCAGCTGAGTTATTAACAAAAGAGAAAGTCGATGAAGAGAATCGATCAAAGCAGATAGGACCATTTGAAATGTTCATAGAGATTTGTCAAGAGCAGGTCTAGCGTCGATGGGTTGCCCGCCGGTGAGATGAATGTTGGTTCATCCGAAAAACAAATGGAGTACAGCTCATGCTGTGAGTGGTCGAACAGCAGACGACCGTTCTGGTTCTGCTGGTAGGCCTGACGGAACATGGCGAGCATTCAGATCTCCTCCAACTACGAAGCTCGAACCGAGCAAAGTAAAACCGATCAAAACATGGACTGCAAGTGTGAGTTTTATTGGTGCGCGAATAAACAAGGTGTTACCAAGCGAAAATCTTTTCACAATTTTCCTAAGGATGCTGAATTGTCCGAAATACAGAAAATTTTCTTCTCGCGTGGAGTTCAAGTTCGTCGGTGGTCCATGCGCTTGCAACGAAAAAGTTATTTTCCGACCACTTCCGCCCGGAGGCTTTTCGAATTCCTGGAAGCACGGATGCAGAGTAAGCAGTTTACACATTTTTCTGAATTTAAATGAGGGCCAATTGGAGTTCACGCCATCACTGAATCATTTGAAGATACGCCGTCAGTGAACTCAAAAAAGTAAATTTTGCAGCTGACTACTATGTACAGTTAAAATTGGAACGAAAAACGATTGTAGATCTGCAAGAAACTGTAGAAGACCATAGTTTTTTATTCAAAAATAATGGTTCCACAGAACCTCGATTGATTTCCGTTGTTCATTTGGATACACGGTCAATAGTGATATATCCAAATGCATGTTGTTATTTTTCAATCCGATTTTTTTCGGATTAATAGTGTCCAGATTATCTAGTGTCAGATGAGCGGGAAGATACTGTAATAGCACCGCACGCTGATTTTCACACAAAACGGCCAACGTTGACATTTTGTAGGTTATGATCCAGGCTATTATAGGGGAAATGGCTCTAATGTTGGCCTATGGATCTAAGGTTGGGCCCATCGCTAAAAATCTGCAATTTATCAATTTTATCTAGATGAACGCGTCATTGTGTGCGGATCTATGACACAATTGGTCTACGTCCTGAAGAAGAAAACGACGTAGAAGTGATAAAAGCAAGGTTTGAAGAATACTTCACACCAAGTTATATCGTTCGAACGTATCGTGCGAACGATAACGTTGATATAACTTTAACCGAATTGTGCAGAGTGAAGAAGAACAGTTTGACAGTTTTCTTACCAGAGTGAAAGAGCAGGCGAAAAAATGCTCATTCAGTGTGCTTCATGATTCTCTGGTGAAAGATAGAATCATAATCGGAGTCAAATACACAAACCTAGTGCCGCAGTTGTTGAATGATGATTTGACACTGCAAAAAAAACTGTTGAGTTGTGTCGCAATTTCGAACTGACGACGATGCAATCAAAGGCACTAGCCGGAGAAGTGAAAGTGGACATGATGAAAACCATGAAGAAAAAGCTGAGCAGCAATCTACCTGAAGAAAAAGACGTTTTCCAGTGCAATAAGTGCGGAAGAAAGCACACGAAACGGTCGTGTCCCGCTTTCGGAAGAGTCTGTCGAAAATGTGGTTTACAGAACTATTTTGCGGCAATGTGCCGGTCGAAGAATGTGGTGCACAGGGTGCACACCATTCAAGCATCAGTGGAGGATGATAGCAACGTATATAATAGACGTCAACACGATTACAAAAATACCTATGGACCCATATTGAAGGGTATTTGATGTTTCTCAGATTTTATGTAACCGGAAGCCGCCAAAGAGCGTGAAAATAGAGGGTTTAATTTTCAAAAATGTAATAAAAGAAGATTTGTTTATAATTTTAACAGAAACGGTCAACCACCTAAGTACCGGTCTCTTTCTTGAAGTAGATGTCAGAATTGTCATCAAAAATACCTTGTGGACAACCGGAGGGCTTTCTCATAAAATTGGTTTCCAAAGCCTGATCCCTTATCGGCCATCAGCCGAAGTTTTTAACCGTTCCAATAATCGAACTACATGACAATTAAATACTCCAGATGAATGTACCTCGTCCACGTCCAGCCGCCTCGTTCTGACCGACCACCGCTTACTCGGTCCAACGGTGGCAACAACCCGGATTCGTACAAACGTAGTACAGTCTCATTTCCTCTTCAGCTCGTCGTGTCTGTGCCTGAAAGAATACCGCCTCGCGGTGGGTACATTTGGGACAGGCGTGTTCCTCCGTTCGGGGCAGCGTCGGATCAGATATCACGTCCGGTACGATGTGGGTCAGTTCGCTGGAAGGATATGACAATTGAGGTTATGCTGCACGCCGCGCGCAATTCTCTGGACTTACTCAATTTCGTGCATAATTTTGTTCACGTAGATGCAGTTCGAATCGGCTTCCTGTTTGTAGTCGCAGTTTCGGCAGGCGTACAGCAGCACTTTGTTTTCTTTGTCTTCCTTCGGGTATAACATGTTGTTGCTGCGGGTAATGATTAGCGGTGGAACATAATTCTTGGATTTTAAACCAACTTACCATTCCTGACAGAAACGAATGCCAACGAACCCGGGTCCATCGTCGTGGGCAGGAGCATCAAATGCCATTTTGGATCAATATTTTAATAAGAAAATCTGATTTTATTGGAAGAAATTACTGGGAAAGATCCAATCACAGCGATCTGTTTACGCCTTATGACGTTTCTCCAACATAAATGCTAGGTAGGGGTGTGCGAGGAACCGATTCGAACCGGTTCAGTTTAGGTGATGTTACACTGCAGCATACATTTCCAACAAGAATCATGCTCGCGATGGTTCGAGAGAGTTCTCGATAGCATAATGTGCAATGTTTATAAAAAACTGTTTTGTTGAGTCGCACAACGCAGCTGAGAGTGACACAGGCGACACGAGGTTGGATTGTGTGTAGAAGACGATCGTGAGGTTCCGTGAAGGTGAACATTCTATTGCCCAGATTTGGTGAAAACCTTGAAAATCAGAACTGTAAAAATGGCCAGCGGAGGAGATAATCCGGACCAGCCGAGGCAGCCTCGAAATATGCAGGTAAGAAGACATGGGAGGATTAAAGATTGAATACTCATGCAAAGTCCTTAGGGTCTGTTGAAATTTGCGATGGAAGCAACACAAGCGGAAGATGCTCCCCATGAGTCACACGTCCAGCCATTGGACGAGGAACGTCGTCGATTTCTGGAGCAGGCTCTCAAATCGCTTACACTGGATGTGGTCGAGGAGATTGAAAAAGCCATGAAAACTCTCATGGATCCTAGCACGGACGAGGAGGACAAAGCGCAAGCCATTGAGATCATCATTGATTTTGTACAGGACATTGATGCTGCCAATGGTAGGAAGTCAGATCAATTACTTGCTTTGCCACCGCAAAATTCCAATCGCAATTTAACCTTTTTCTAGACTTCTTCAAAGTGGGCGGTAATGTCATCATAAATCCAGGTCTCGATTCACCGAATTCGGACGTTCGCGCGGGAACACTTCGGCTGATAGCAGAACTAGCCCAAAACAACCCCTACTGTCAGCAGCAGCTGCTGGAAGCGAACACATTGCCTCGGACAGTCGAGCTTTTATCGGATGAACCGGCGGTAGCAAGCCAAGCCATGCACGCCATCTCCTGCATGGTTCGACACCACGAACCTTCTTTGGCGGCGTTCATCGACCTTGGAGGGCTGGAGTGTATTCTTGGATGCATTCAGACCGATAACGAAAAGCTCCGCATCAAATCGTCGTTCCTAATGTCCAACCTGTGCACGGAATTCGCAACCGTGAGGGATGAATTTATCATACTGAATGCGGTGGAACGGGTGGTGGCCGCCGTAAAACCATCGAAACAATTTGAACCCAAGCTGGAAACGGCACTGTCTACGCTGAATGTGCTCACGGAGAGTGATGAAGCAGTCCGCCGGAGTCAGGAGTCGAGTTTGCAGCTGAAGGAAAAGTTGGAACTGGTGCTGAAGCTGAACAACGGGAAGGAGGAGTGTTTGGTAGGTTTTGGGATTATATTTGGATAATTTTAATGCGAGCTTTAACAATGGGCTTCATTTCAGGAACAGATTGAATATGCAAATACGTTACTAAAGCGATGTTTCTCCGATGATAATGGTGGCACTGACCGATAAATAAAGACAAATTGTGGCGTTCATAGTTGTAAGCTGAAACGTTGGCACTTTTAATGTTATCAAGATGATGACAGCCCTTAATGAGATGGGGGATTAATGTGCAGGAACTCACCTCACGTTAGAAACAGGTAACAATCATGTAAATATTTATTACTATCTTTGTTTGAGCTAGTTAAGCCTTCTAAATGTTGTGTTCAAGATACTGTCAGATGCAGTTAAGGTAGTAGCCATTAGAAATGCTTGAGTAGACTATTAACAAGGTAGAGTATCGAAATGTGTAACCAAAATCACCCCCTCCCCGTCAAAAAAAGAAACACAAAAATTGATGAAAAACAAAGAACGGATAAATAAGAAAACAAATAGAAGATGTTTTAATGATCATCAGGCATTGATAATGTCAGGAGCTTGCTTGAAATGATCCAGCCCGGTTCTATACGCATGTAAGCATTCACATTAGGGTGGTTCAAAATATCGATCGATTCTAATGCAGGGTGTAGGGATGGGAGAATTGCATTCCCGACCCACTAAACCTTTTTTTTTCCTCTGTTCGGGACCTAATACCACTGCGACCAGTAATTTGATCTATTGTAGTATATCCCGTGTCCTTAGTTGAGTGCATGTCACTATTGAGAAATGATGAAGTATTCGATTTTTTTACAGTTGTCATTCTCGCATTTATCGCAAGGATCCAACTCTAATTGAAAGGTTCCGCTATTTGTACCCTTCGGAGTGTTGAAACACCCTCCAAAGACGCGCCCCTTTGTCAGTCAAAATTGTATTCCTTAGCAACAAAATTCAGGAATAACAACGTTAATGACCATGCATCAGAACCCTAGTCTTAACCACTTCAAACTAGGGAACAACGAACAGAAGATTAGGAATCACATAGATGAAGACTAACTCATTTTTTCCTTGTTTCAAGATCATCCTCGGTGGACAAAGCCGAGTCTTGTCACTATCAACAAGGCATAAAAAATAACAAGGACTAAGATGTGTTCCTTTGATTGCTGAAAAATCCTGTTCCCCTAGTTTGAAGTAGTCAGGACTAGGAATCGGTGGTAGATCTTACATCCCGTAACGTACCACTAAACCTTACCCTGCGCGCTTGGCCCTTAATCTCCCCGGAACCGCCCGAAGGCATTACTTCGTGGGAGGGGCCGCTATAGCGCTATGGCACTTCTCTAGCAATACTCTATCGATCTAGTCGGGCAGTAGGCAACTGCTGCTCGGCACGCCACTGTCGTTGTAGTTCCGAAACTATGTGGGTGACCGCAGTCACCATCGCGCTCCAGTTCTCGGTGGTACCACACATCATAGGGACGATGTTATCCGGACTGGTATCCGCTCCGCATATCGCTAGCATAACGCTCATTACTGGCTTGAAGCGTGGACAGGCGAACATAACGTGTTCGGCCGTCTCTTCGACAACAGCGCACGCGGAGCAGATGGGAGTACTTGCATGTCCGAACCTATGCAAGTAACTCCTAAACCAGCCATGGCCTGACAGGAACTGTGTCAGGTGGAAGTTTACTTCCCCGTGGCACCTGTTGACCCAGCTTGATACGGAAGGTATCAAGCGGTAGGTCCACCTCCCCTTTATGGAGTTTTTCCACTCCGACTGCCATCTCGCAATCGACACCGCTCGCGCGTTGTTGCGCACCCCTCGAAGGGTCCTCGTGTCATAGCACACCACGTCCTCCTTGATGATGAGGTCGATTGGCATCATCCCTGCTATGACACAGACGGCCTCCCTCGAGATGGTGCGGTATGCACTGGCCACCCTCAAGCACATTAGCCTGTGTGTACTCTCTAATTTCCGGCTGTGACAGTACACACTTAGTTTTTTCTACCGAGCTCGGCTGTGCAAATCTCGGCAAAATAAGTTTCACTCACACACACACAGATCTCAGCAAAAGTGACATTTCATTGCTGAGTCTCGGATAATGCTTAGCTGAATCTCAGCAAACAAATGAAATGTTTGCTGATATCTCAGTGAAACTTTTTTTGCCGAGATTTGCGCAGCCGATATCGGTAGCCGTATCTGAGGCTAGATACTACGACCCCAGCGAGGAGCCTGCGCTTACTGGCACTCACTGCCGAGCTGTTTGACATCATGCGGGATAATGCCCCCACAGCCATAGACGTTCTCTTGCAGGCGTACTCGACGTGGCATCATCGAGCATAACCCCCAAGAGTTTCAGAGAGCGCACAAACATAATTGTGCTTCGGCCGACTGTCAACGTCGCATGCTGTACTGACATGCGATTGTTGACTACGACCACTTCCGTCTTGTGATGGGCAAGCTCCAGTTTCCTGGATCTCATCCATTCCTCCACAAGCTTGACGCAGTGTGCCGCTGTCAGCTCTACCTCCTTGAGGGATTCCCCGTAGGCTACCAGCGTGACATCGTCGGCAAAACCTACAATTTTCACACCTACAGGGAATCTTATCCTCAACACTTCGTCGTACATGACGTTCCATAACACCGGGCCCAGGATGGAGCCTTGTGGCACTCCTGCGGTGACTCTAACGCATTTTTCGCCTTCTTCTGTGTCGTACTTCAACACACGATTCTGGAAGTAGCTTTCGAGAATTATGTACAGCCCTACGGGAATTCGGACTTGATGTAGCGAGCGGGTTATCGCCCCCCAGCACGCGCTGTTGAACGCGTTCTTCACGTCTAGAGTTACCACAGCGCAGTAACGAATACCCCTTCGTTTCCGGTGGACCACCGCTGCCGTCTGGATGACGTCGCGGATAGCTTCCACCGTAGATCTGCCTTTACGGAACCCGTACTGGCTGCTTGACAGGCCGTCTACACCTTCGGTGTAAGCCGACAACTTGTTGAGGATGACCCTCTCAACCAGTTTACCAGTTGTGTCCAACAAACAAATGGGTCTGTATGCTGACGGGTCCCCAGGGGGTTTTCCTGGCTTCGGGAGCAGCACCAGCCTCTGCTGCTTCCACGCATCTGGGAAGATGCCTACGTCCAGACAGGTCTGAAAAACAGAACGGAACATGCCTGGATTTTCCGCAACGGCCGCCCTTAGAGCCACAACCGGGATTCCATCTGGGCCTGAGGCCTTGCTCACCACCAGCGACTTGGCAATATCACTCAGTTCTTTGTTTGTCACTCTAGACACTTCTCCCTGATCCGCGACTGGGATTCGCGGCCAGGAGTCTACGTCCCTATGTGGAAACAAGAACCCAACGATCGACGCCAGCATCGCCGACGATCTCTCCGGGGGTGCCGCCACGCCACGGGTTTTGGCCATGACCACTTTGTGAGCATCCCCCATGGGTTCATGTTAGTTCTTTGGCATAAACTGTCAAAGCACGCACGCTTGCGTCTGGCGATCTCTTTGTTGAGGGCCGCCTTAGCCGCTCGAAGAGCGACGCGGCGTTCCTCTCGTGATTCGGTCGTACGAGCTCGTTGCATCCTCCTTCTCGCATGGAGGCAAAACGCCCTAAGGATAGCAATCGACTCGCTCCACCAGTACACCGGTCTATGGCCATGCCTGGGATAGGCTCTCATAGGCATGGTTGTATCGCACGCCCTTGTCAGCGCTACTACCAGTTCTTCCCCCGTCGGATCCGGGGTTATTCGCTTCCGCCTCAGTGCTTCGCCGAAGACCTCTTTCTCGAAGAACGACGTCCGCCAGCCTCGAGCGCAGGAAGGATTTCCTCCTGCCACTCGCCTCTCACCTGGCTCCACACTGTACCGAATCGCCTGATGGTCACTATGGGTGTAACCCTCATCGACCCTCCAGTGTAGGTTGCCCTCCAAACACGGGCTGCAGTAAGTCACGTCGATGACGGATTCCGCACCATTCCTTCTGTAGGTACTGACCGAGCCGGTGTTGGCTAGTACAATGTCCAGTTTGGCCATTGTCTCCAGTAGGATGCATCCTCTCTGGTTGGTGTGGTGGCTGCCCCACTCCACCGCCCATGGGTTGAAGTCGCCCGCAATGACCACCGGTCTTAGGCCGATAAGTACCACAGTGAATCTGTCCACACTGAACCAATTTGACATATTCCTGTTATGTGGAAATCTAATAAATTTGCGCTATAAGATAATCCATTGAAAATGATATGATTGAAAATGTGTCAGGTAAATTCTATATGAATATCTGATGCATTTACAATGCTGATAATTTGGTAACTTTTATGTGATCGTCATATGATAAATGAAAATCAGTCAAATTATAATAATTAACTGAAATGGATTTGAAACCCATAAGCATAAGCTTTACGTTTCACCACAATATAATATATGTGTCATAAATCAATCGAAGTAAAGTTTATGTGAAAATCACATGAAATTTACTTCTTCTTTTGACACATATATTTAATCGATTTCTAAAAATAAATCGAAAAATAAACATCAGGCAGTGGGAGCTTTCACAGTTGTGTCTTTTTTTTATTGTAGCTGATTTGGGATTCGATCAAGAACTGTTGAGGTGTGATGCTTTCGGTTTCTGCGCTCGATTCCACTGGGCCACGGCTGACTTCAAGATTGAGCTCGTTCAATTAGCATGAAGTAAGAACAGCTCTCCCGACATGGAATGTAGTGCAACTTTATGCTCGTTTTGCTAGAGTGAAGACAAATAGCACTGACAAGTTTATGTTCCGTTTCGGTGGTGTCGTTTGTTCAAATCTTTCTTAATGCGCCTGTGTGCAATAAAACAACGACTAAATTATATGAGTTGATGGAACTGGTTCATGAAGTTCGAGTACTAGGGCTGGAATCTGAATTAGCTGTGTAGAAGGCTTACAATTAGAATCACAGCAAAGTAAATATTGCAATAGAATAATTTTTTTTTCAATCTCAATACATTCTTTTCCGGAACCCCTTATCTTATGAAACAATAACAAACAAAGATTATTCAATACAGTATCATTGTTGTTAGCAATATTTACAATATCAACAATCATTTTAATGAGTGTACGACTTGGTGTACGATAACATCGTTGAAAATTGTTTCAATAATTTATGAAGAGCAATCATGTAAGATGTATTTTATTTTGAGCGATATTCATCCCAGAAAAACATGCCAAAA